TAATAATTTGGAGCTCATCGGAAGTAGCCAATCAAATCGATTTAAATTCCAACGAGAAACCACGCCACAACACGAAAATTCACTCGAAAGCACAATATAATACTGTATTCTTTTTTTTGCTGGGGCATGGCCTCCGGCGGGGACCGGCCAGGTTCGAGTGAGATGGTGGCACAGCCGGCGACATCAGTCAATGGGCGCCCCATTCAGAAGTGGTAGCGGTGGTGGCAGTCTGCGACAGCAGAAACAGCGGCAGCAGGGAGAAGCGCACACAGTGATGGGGACAACTGGGTTCAAATTGCCAAATGAAAAGTGATTTTGAATTGACCAATCATATTGACAATACGGATAACTAACCGGTCGTCGGAATGTCGTCGGAATTTTTATGGTGCTAAATGTAATACTACAGACTGTACAAGTAACCGACAAATTTTACTTATTGCCAACACTGTCCCACAATTTGTGCCAGCGCACTACGTACTGTACGTACTATTATTAATAATACTACGTACTTCGAAGTATTGTTTATATTAATAGTTATACTTGTACTACGTATTATTAATAATAGTACTACTGTAGTGTCAGATTAATTGAGTTTTTGGATTATCATTTTTAAGACATTCCTCCGCAAGGGCCGATACTAGAACCACACGTTATGGAACTGCTTCGCCAATTGTAACGCGCCTGCTCCACCAGGGGCGGTGTGTAATCTTCGGTTTTTACTTCGCTCAACGCTTCACACCTCGTGCTTCGACCGATCTTCTTCGAAGTTCGGTCCTCGTCTTCGTACGCGGCCCTTGTTATCCGGATTCCCCAGGGGAGGGACGGTACTGTAGTGTCAGACAAGCGACGGATGGAGCACTAATTTCTTGACATGTCATAAAACTACAACTGTACATAGTTTCTTCGACATGTCATAAAACTACAACTGTACGTACATACATGTACCAGTAGTAACATACCTCGAAAAACCAAAAACACTACCTCACGGGAGTCAAGCGCGGCAAAAACACTCTTCGTGCCAGAAGTTTTTCCGAGTTCGGGTGTGCGTTGGCTGTCAAGGTTCGCGAATTCGTCGACAGCCAGACAACTAAGTGGTATTATACTTGGAGTACAGTACAGTATTACGTACGAGTCGGACGCTTATACGAGTCAGACACCTCTAACATTTGATAACATTTGGCCACTCGCAGAAAACGTATTTACACGGGTTTCATAGAGGTGCTTTTGAGAGGTCATGCATGACCAATCAACCTTACGTGAATCGACGTCATAATAACGTACTAACCTTAGTTTTGGGCTAAGAATTCCTCTAACTAACTACAGTAACCAGCAAAATAGCCAACAGGTATTTACTAAGAGTGCAAGGCTACAATGGTATTTGTGAATTGTTCGGATGGAGTGCCAACGGAATCGACGAAACACGATTAATTGACGACGTGACTGAGTTAGAGAAGACATACATTATCGAACTAAGATATGGTGCTAACTTGATATCACAGCTAAATGTGCCCACGTTCTTGCTAAGTTACATGTACTGATGGATTTGTCGCATCGACCCCATTCTGGATTAGAAATGCTCTTCCGAAGAGCATTTCTAATCCAGAATGATCTACTCATGTACGAAGAGCCTAATCTCACAATTATTCACACCAAGTTACAAGTGTGTATACATACATAAACCAGAACGAAGTGCAACACTGTGGACGATATGCGTGTACCGGAATACGACGGTGTTCACCCACACCCTTTCCTTCGTCCACCCGACGTGGCTTCATTTCTGGCGCGCGTGATCGCCCAAGTTGTGCACGTCGAAACGCGAACGTTGGCCAATATGAGACAAACATAATAGACTTCGTGGCATATAATCATCATCATGTTTGTATGTTCCTTTGTATTTTTATAATACAAGCAAAAGTGCTTTGAGTTTTGTAAACCTGTATAATTTTGTTTTCGTTTAAAATCAATACTTTCTGAGGTTGGACGTGAACTAACATATAACATGATATTGAAAATTGTATGTCTGGATAAAAAAGGAAAATTCAGTGTCTCATAGCGCTTTATGCGGATTCGGATACGACACATGGGTGTTTACGCAAGTCAGCCAATCGTGAATGAACGATATATTCATGCATACAGTGCTGGCCAGTAGGATCCAGCCACCCCGTTTATCTGGGATTAATTTTGTCCAATAAAACGTAGAGACATGCGGAATACACCATTCTCTCCGTTTTAATTGGTTGTTTAATGGGTCCGTTACAACAGCTTGATCCGATAAAAACTGCACTTTATTTTGTCCAAAAACCATTTTGAGGGGTGGTCAATAGGATCCCAACCACTTCAGAAATCACAGGTTTCAAGGTGCAGTACGATGTTAAGTACACTCAAAACACTTGCTAGTACTTTGTGTTGGACCCCTTTGCCTCTGAACTAATCTACAACGACGTGGCATCGATGCAATGAGCTTGGCAAGGTAGTCTTGATCGATGGAGGACCAGGCCCGCTGAATTGCCAGTCCAAGGTCACACACACTGCCGTTCTGCTTCCCACTCACATTCACATACTGCACCATCATGCCCCAGACGTTTTCGATCGCGTTGAGGTCTGGGAACAGCACAGAGTGCTCAAATAAGTTGATGTTTTGCTCGTCCAAAAATGCCAACAAAGTTTTGGAACGGTGAATGGCGACCCCATCTTGCGTATATTACACGTTCGAACGG